TCCAAAGACTCTTGAAATATGGCTTCCGAATAAATGTTAAATAAAAGAGGGGAAAGCACACATCCCTGTCGAACGTCTCTTCTTATATGTATGGGCTTGGATATAGAATTGTCTATTTTTAGCTGTGCCGTTTGATGCCAGTACAAGTTTTCATTGCATCTTATGTCTTTTTGGTCTATATCAACTTTCTTGAGAATCTGCATTAACTTGTGGTGTTGGACACGATCAAAACGCTTTTTGGTAATCTAAAAAGCATAGGAACACATCCTTCCTCTGATCGTAACAATTTTGGACCAGCACCTGTGTTGCTACTATTGCTTCTCGTGTTCCTAAACCTTGCCTAAACCCGAACTGGGAATCACTGATGTCCCATTCACATTTTTTTGTATAATCTTTAATGTAGTATTTTTAAGAATATCTTTAAAGTGTGACTCATCAGGCTAATGAGTCTGTGATCCTCACATCTTTTTGCATTGCCTTTCTTGGGCAGGGGAATAAAGGTAGAGCGTAACCACTATTGAGGATAGCAGCCAGTTTCATAAATTAAATTAAATATTTTGTGTAGTGCTGAAATTCCCCTTCCATCTAGTAATTTGAGTATTTCTGACGGGATCTCATCTGGTCCAGGTGCCTTATTGTTTTTTGAATTTAATATTGCTTTTTCTATCTCCTTTTTGGTGATTGAATGGCCAGTCAGCTGGTCGTCTGTATAAAACTTCACTCATGGGTCTTTCGTCATGGAAGAGCTCCTGGATATAATTTTCCCATATATCAAATTTTCTCCTTTTCACCCAGCACTATCTGGTTATCCTGATTAACTATTAATAACGATTAACGAATAACAATTAACTATGGTAGTTGGTCTTCGTTTTCTGTATATTCCAGCAGTCTCCTTAAGCTTTTTATGTAAAATAGGTAAAGAAATAATAATAAGACTTACTCACAATCAATTTAATTTAACAATCTGACGACCGGTTTCGCTTTCTACAATTTGCAAAGCATCTTCAGGTCTAGATACAAAGTTAAACTAATGCTGCAATAAAATAAACCCAATTAGGGTGGTGTCTAATAAAGATAAAATAAACAAATAAGTTAGTTCATACAAATTATAGTAATTATGCCAATATTACATGTCTGTGGTTTTCAAAATGAATAAATTTGAATATATAAAAGGTATTAACAGACAAGGTAAGACCCACAATTGGTATAAAGTAGCAATATTATATTGTAATAAATTAATAAATGAGCAAATAAATAAAACAAAACAAACATTACTTACATGCCGGTACTCTATTAATTGATGGATGGTAGGTCATGGTTGCAAAAATCATGTATTGTTGATTGGAGAACTTTAATGTGCTACTGCAGTTGTTTTGACAATAAACGGGAAGTTCTTGAGGAGAACAGATTTGATCCAATGAATTAGAGATAGGTATATTGTGGTTGTTTGTCAGATGAAAGTGATGTTCTTTACTATTGTATTATTTAAATTATTTACACTTATATCAGAGATATATTTTTTGGAATGTGTGTTATTTATTTATTGAGTATTTATGTAATGAAGGAGACAGTTTAATACATAAACTGTCTCCTTCATAAACTGATAAAATAAAAAACTGAAAAATAAACTGATTCATTACATAAATTACTCAATAAATAATAATAACACACATTCCAAAAAATATATCTCTGATATAAGTGTAAATAATTTAAATAATTACAATAGTAAAGAACATCACTTTCATCTGACAAACAACCACAATTATACCTATCTCTAATTCATTGGATCAAATCTGTTCTCCTCAAGAACTTCCCGTTTAATGTCAAAAACAACTGCAATAGCACATTAAAGTTCTCCAATCAACAATACATGATTTTTGCAACCATGGACCTACCATCCATCAATTAATAGAGTACCGGCATGTAAGTAATGTTTTGTTTTGTTTTATTTATTTGCTCATTTATTAATTTATTACAATATAATATTGCTACTTTATACCAATTGTGGGTCTTACCTTGTCTGTTAATACCTTTTATATATTCAAATTTATTCATTTTGAAAACCACAGACATGTAATATTGGCATAATTACTATAATTTGTATGAACTAACTTATTTGTTTATTTTATCTTTATTAGACACCACCCTAATTGGGTTTATTTTATTGCAGCATTAGTTTAACTTTGTATCTAGACCTGAAGATGCTTTGCAAATTGTAGAAAGCGAAACCGGTCGTCAGATTGTTAAATTAAATTGATTGTGAGTAAGTCTTATTATTATTTCTTTACCTATTTGATATGGACTCACACAAGCAACACATTCACTTTTTATGTAAATTACGGTCGTCGTGCTGTCGTTGTAAATGTTCTAGATCGGTACATTGTTGCTTAAGCCATTCATTTTTTTGCTATTCTTATTTTTGCTTTTATTTGCCTGTTAATGTTTTCATACATATTGCTGCCATCTTGGTTATTCTTGTGTCTTCGTCGTTCTTCCATTAGTAATAGTTTTTCTTCTGTCATCCATTTTTGCCTCTTGTTATTTCGTTTGTACCCTAAGTTGTTTTTCATGATGTCTGTTACAGCACTTGTAATCGTATTCCATGTTGGTGTTAGATCTTCGGTAATGTTTGTCGTTAATATTTGAATTTCTGCGTTTATTTCATTGCTTATTTCTGCTTGTATCACTGGGTCTTTCAGTTTATCCAGTGCTATCTGTTGTTGAGTTTCAGGCTTGTTCTTGCATGAAAGAGCGATCTTTATGACGGCCACTAATAGTACGTGGTCAGAAGGGACAACGGTGGATTACACACATTTGTAATCAAAGCTAGCATTGGCGTAGCAGAGGCACTGCTAACCCCTTCACTATTATTGCCCGCAGATACAGACCGATGATGTGCTACAAATATTTGCGCTTCGGTCATACTAGAGACAACTGTAAGGAGAAGAAAATCAAGGGAAAATGCCTTAACTGCTGGCAAGAGGACACAACACAACGTTAGACAGTTTGAAAACATACCGCACTGTGGTATTATGTGATAAAATGCTGAGAATAACAATAGGGCAAGAGGTGCTCTAGAGTCAAGGGAAGGGGAAATTAGACATTAAAATTCAACCCGATAACAGATAACTTCAAGGGGTTCATAGTACTACAGGTGAATCTGGAGAGATGTAGAGTGGCACATAACATGCTAACGATGAGAGGGAAAGAATAAGGTTGTATGTTGAATAACTTAACAATTTTTATAACATTCGAAACATTACAAATTGTAGGCGTTTATATTAATTTGTATTTACGTCATTATATTTGTAGTGAACTGGAGAAACTTTTGAAAAATTAAAAAACAGCGAAACGTATTTATTAAACCAATGAAGTAGCTGACTCCTCTTTTTTTTTGCCAACATGTTTTTTGATTATCAGAAAGCGTTCAATAAAATAAAACGAATTAGAGGTGGACTACTCCAGAATATTCTAGTACATAGTAACTTTTATATATAAGCAGACCTTCTATGAGTTAAGTGAGTTGAAAAAGTTGATTTTCGTGCTGTAAACTTCTAAATAAATATATTTATATACATTAAAAACCGCTCGTTTTACTTAAAAACCGTAGATTATTTAATCAACAACCTATATTACAAATCACGAACTTTTGCTATTTGGGTGTATATTTAAACGAACACTGGAGACGCTCGATTTAAATTAAGATAAGAACCGAGAGTCATTTTCATGTTGAAATATTTCTACTTCTTTTCTCCTTTCAGGTTTTCATCGACTACACTGTAAAACAGACTATAATTATCTAATAATAAAATATTGAAAACTTTTGTTTTCAATACTTCCACAAAATTTATTTCAAATTATTATTACTATTAAATTACTATCACTTATTTCCCATTAAACAAATAGCAGTAAACAATCTGCACAATGAAAACACAATAAATAAAATTTTAAATCAAAAACTACATAAGTAAGCCATGAAATTAGTATTTTCACCACCAGATAAAAACCCAGTTCCTTCTGCTCGATTACATATACAGGCAAAATATCAACAAAAATAGACAAACACATAAAAAGAAAGGAATAACACCAGCTTTTATAACAAACAACAACATAGGCAAATATATTAAGAACAACAAGAGCCAAAAGAAAAAGCACTTCCACAGCGGTGTATACAAACTTAAATGTGGCAACTGCACAAAAACTTACATCGGTAAAACTTTTAGAACTTTTATCAAACGTATAGCAAAACATAAAAGGGTTTTCAATAATAGAAACACATACTCTACGTACGCACTTCACCTTCTAGATCATAATCATTCTTTTAATGACGAATTTCAAATTCTTCATATTCAAAATAAAGGCTTTAAGCACCTTTATTAGAATCTATAGAAATCAACAAATTAAAAAATACGGACATAATTCGAATGGCCAACTTGAGACAAACAGTTCACCTGTCCTCAACTTATTCAATTAAATACTATAAAATGTAGACACATACCAAAAATAGATCACTTGAGAAAGGCACTCTGACAGAAACAGCTGTAGTAATAGTAATTTAAAATAAATTTTGTGGAAGTTTTAAAAAAAGGCCTTCAGTGTTTTATTGTTAGATAAAATTAATTTCCATCAAGTAACGGTGGAATCCATCACTTATAATATAATTACCATATATCGTGCTGCTCTTAGTAATTTTCTTTGTCTCTGAGAGCAAATAATTGTCAATATTATTACCAGCAATTTTTGAAATGACTTTCTGATCTTTGTTACATTACGATGTAATATCAAAGCAGACTAATCTCAGTTTATTAAGTTTCCATTTTCTAATTTATTTTTGTTGCTGTGAGCTTAGAGGTATTTTACAATTTATATAATTTTATCTTTATTTTAAAATTATATACCTCTTTCTCTCTTCTGCAGTATATTCTACATATGTTAGGAAAAAACCATACCTAATAAAACAACAAAATAATATTCATAGCATGTGTATTTTATTTAACAACTTAAAATCCCCAGAAGCATCTTCTTGCACCAGGACGGCGACGCAGTGGTCTAACCATATATCTGAATCCATGAACTACTTCACCTCCTTCAGCTGAGAAGTTAGCGTAATCAGTCTCGCTTTCGTTGATGATTTTCAAAGATGACGCATTTATGCCTTCAAGTAGAAGCACTTGAGTTTCGTTAGGTTGGACAACTTGAGTGCGGACCACCTCATGGTTTCTTCCTTTAACATGAATGATCTGTAAAAGAGAAATAGCTATAGAAAGGAAAACTTAAAAGGGAATAAAAGTAACAAATATATTTACATATACACTATTTTGAAATATATTGTGAGATTTACTTACCTGAACAGTAAAGGCATGACTTCCATGATTAACAACGGTGTATCTATCATGAACAATGGGTTTACGTAAGACAGCGGGACGCATAACAATTCTTGGTCTGCGCGCTGGTCTACATTGTCCAACTTGAGGTCTATGCTGTTGAGCTGGACGGTGTTGTTGTTGACCTGGATGGTGTTGTTGCTGAGCTGGATGGTGTTGTTGTTGAGCTGGATGGTGTTGTTGTTGAGCTGGATGGTGTTGTTGTTGAGCTGGATGGTGCTGTTGCTGACCTGGGTGGTGCTGTTGTTGAGCTGGACGGTGCTGTTGTTGAGCTGGGTGATGTCCTTGTTGAGCTGGATGAGGACGACCTTGTGCTGGATGTTGAGCACCTTGACCTGGACGGTGGGCTGGTCGTATTACTGGCCTACAAGCTGGACGACGGAATGGACGACGTCCTGGACCTGCTGGTCTACCTGCTGGTTTACAAGGACGAGGTACTGCTGGTTTGCATGGAAGCCGTCCTGGTTTACGTCCAGGATGGTGTTGAGGTCTACGAACTACAACATGTTGGGGTTTGCGATGTCCAGCTGGGTATACGGGTCTTCGTCTAAATCTACCAACTTGATGCATGACAACTACGGAAGATGCAGGTGCTAGATGGAAATTATTTACTAACATTACTGAATTTTCATCAGATACCAATTGTTTGATCTTTCTCATAATATCTCGAACTACTCTTCCTCCCGTGGCTACAACAAAATAAAATATTAATATATTGTTATTTTAATATCGTCTAAAATATTTTAAATTTACAAGAAGGCAAAAACTTTCTATAATATTTGTGCAGTCCGGCTTCATGAAAATACATGAAAAAGGAAAGAATTTTAAAAATAAAAAAACTTACCGGTGATAATAGCAACTTCTGTGTAATGTCTGTTCAATATATTTAATAGGGCTACTCCAGCGTCTTTGATATGCTCAATTACTACAGTTTCATTTGGTTTAACTACTCTGTATTGATCATTCTCACGGTCATCGCTGTCAGTGTAAGTAACCTGAAATCAACGATCAGGTAATTAAACACAAATAACATTTGTTTGGATTTAGAAATATGGTCATTGGTTTTATAAATTATATAGTAGTTATTAAAAAAACTCACCTCAACTTCTATCTCAGATTGTCCGTTGTTGGTAACAGTGAAGTTATGATGTTCGGAAAGGGTAACATCATCAGGATCATACATTAAAGCAGTAACGGATGAACGTGAGACTAAATGGAAGCTCTCCAAAGTTGTTACAATATGAGAAACAACAGTTTCTACTTTCTCATCAATATTTCTAACTAAATCCTCAAGATCTTCAATAACATCACCTCCTTCAGCTCTAAAAACTGCATCTTCAGTGTGGCTTGTGTTGATAACTTCCAATACGGTATTTTGGAATTGAGCTGTGAGTTCAAAAGACTCAGATGTATTAGGCTGAACAGTTTTGCGATGAAGATCCATAGTTTGAACAGGTGATGTACGCTTTAACTAAGAGAAAAATTATATTAGTACCCAAAAATAAAGGGCAACTATTTCGCTATACATTCAAAATCCAGGCCGTAGAAGAATGTCCTGGATGAGAAATTTGAGAGAGTGGTTTGTTTGTACAACTAACGAATTATTCAAAACAGCAGTAAATAAAATTAGAATGGCCATAATGATATCCAATCTCCGATAGGAGAGGCACTCAAAGAAGAAGAATTTCGCTATTTCAATCTGTCTTAATACACGTAGGCGTAATTGACAGTGGAATGGATAAAAAGCAACGAGCAGAGTGAATTTCAATTATCCACACATAGATGTTTATTTTACGGTATGTGGCATATTATGTGGTATGATTAGATTACGGAAGAAACAAAACTCAATGGTTCAAGTAGAAAAATTAACTTTCTTTAATTAAATTTCGTAAATTAACGTTAAAATTAAGAATCGTTAATGGGATCTCACAATAATAAAAGAACTTTATAAGAAAAAGCCAACAGAAAAAAATGGGACAGTGTGATAAAAGAAGAAGATTATATCGATCACAATGGAAAGATATTAATTAAGTACCTTAGAAAAATCAAATATCCACGGCAACTGAATCAATAATTAACTATCTGAATATATAGCATATATGACACAAAAATAATCAGAGAAACACGTTAAATCATAGTTTATAAATTTCCTATCGAAATTATGGATGTAGATAATTGTAAGGCAAAACACTGCTGAAAGTCGTCAAGCGGACAAGTGAACGAAAATAATATGCCTAAAATAAAGAAAAGCAGTAAAGAGGCAACAAACTTACTTCAATATCAAAAGCAGCTACCCCATGGTTAGTTACAGTGTACTTTCCAGGATGTTCATTGCTTCCTTCAACATTTTGACTCAAAACAGTGACGGCAGTTCTTGGGCTCAAAGAAAAGTTTTCTAGAACGACTATTTCAGTTTCTGTTTCGTCTGAGTCTAGAAGTTCTTCAATGTTGTTTTCCAAGTCGTCAATAACGTGACCACCTTCAGCAGAAAATGAAACTTCCTCTTCGTAACTGTTGTTGCTCACTTTCAACACGCTTTGTTCAAGACTGTCCTCAATAGCTATCTCAGTGGTTTGGTCTGGCTGGACAACAAACCATTGTGGAGCATCATCTTGGTTATTGAGATGCACTACCTAAAAAAAAAACAAGTTTATCTAAACAACATTTATCTAAAATATATTTAACACATGAAATAACAGAAAAGAGATTGTAAAAATTAAAAATGTCTTACAATCGATATAAAAAAGATAAACAGTACGAAATCAATGGACAAACATACATACCTCAACAAAAAGATCAGCTTTTCCGTGATTTGTGACGACATACTTTTTGTCTTCTTCCTTGTCTCCTCCGCTCTGAGACAATGCTAAGATCGTAGTTCTAGGAGGTAAGACGAACTTCTCTAGTTTCGATATCTCCGATACAGAGAAAGTGGATTCATATTCATATTCTTCATATGTCGTCTCCACCGAATATTCTTGGGTGGTTTCAACGGTGGTTTCTTGCTGGGCTAAAATAAGAAAATAATCAAGTGAAAAAAATATAGTCACATTATATTAGACTGATTAGAGCAGTAAACAATATGATTATAATTTTTTGAATTAGAACAGGAATTTAATTACATACTATAAAACATCTACTCACAACTAGAAGAACCCGAGGAACTTTGAATAGAATATAAAATTAAAGTCAAATAAATTTGAAATAATGATTATAAAAGTGATCGGATCAAAAACAGTAAACGGATAGCAGAAGATACCTCAAAACTAATAGAACTTAAACTTAATATGGGAGAGGATGAAGCCAGTCAGCTGAGTGAATCTTTTAATGATGATGAGCTTAGAGCTGCCATTCACATAATGAAAAATAATAAAGCTCCGGGCATTGACGATCTGCGCAAAGAGCAAATTAAGAAGTTTGGATCTAAACAACACAGTGACTCCAGATGATGAACAGCTGAGTTCAAGCTATGCAGAGACCCACAATCTGGAGACAAGGTAAAGTGGTTGCCTTGCTTCTACCTGACAAAGATCTCAACAACCCCAATAGCTATCAGCTAATATCTTTATTCTGTTACCTATTTAAAATACCTAAAATCGCATGATCCTTAATATAATTTTATCTAGAATAAATGAAAAACTAACCAAGATTTAAAAAGCAATCGAACAGTTAAAAAAATATGTGATACATACGCAAATTATAAAACATGGTGAAGAGCAGCTGCATAGAGGAATCCAACCGTTGGTGAAAACGATATGGAAAACAAAAACATTGCCGAATAATTGAAGGAATGTTTAATTATCCCAATCCATAATAAAGGTGACAGATCCGTGTGCAAGAACTGTAGAGGTATAACGTTACTATATATATAACATAAGTACACAGCCATTAATCGATTTAAAGAAGGCATATGAAATGGTTACTAGAAAACCACTAAAACGATGAAGGAAATCGGGATAATGCAGAGGTTAATAAAAGCCATAAAACACCCATATAATAACAACATGGTAAGAGTTAACACCAATAAATACTTGAACGAAATTAAGACTACAAAAGTCAGGGATGCCCTACATCTTCGACGTTGATTAAGATATTCCTAGAACAAATATTAAACCTATGGAAAAGGAAGTGTGAAGGTATGGGAATACCAATCCGATACGACTTCTTGTACACACTAAGTTTTGTAGATGACGAAGTCAAGACCGTTTTGAAGATGACCAAGAAGACGGCTTAAGATGAAGAAGATCTAATCTATATGCTCTGAAAAGTAGAAAAGAAATTTGAGCCCAATAGTAAAGAAAAACAAGGCAGACTCCGAAGATTATTGAGGGATGAAGCGAACGAGGCCATGGAAAGACAAGAACTTAGAGATGGATAGCGGCAGAATAGAAAGGACTGGAGACGTTGACTGAAAGAAGGGAGAGCGAGGAAGATATTCGTAGCATTAAATATTTGTATTGTAATTAAACTGCCGCAAAATTGGAAATATTTATTATGAAACTCTCGACAAAAAGTCGAAAGTAATGGCTAACTCTAAAATCTAAGCTAGCAAAATGAGAGTTTTTAGAAGACAATATCTAAATATTTACTTGATGAATAAGGAAATAAAATAATATAAAACAAAATGGAAACAGTATAAAAATAGAATGGATGAAATTCAACAGAATTTGATTGAATTCGGTTGAACAAAATGGAAACAACATATAAATAGAATGGAATACCAGGAAGAGCAACTACTGATCAGATAAGTATGTTAAAATTAATTCAAAATTATAGGTAGGAACAAAACTTGGGATTACATATGTTATTTATTATGTTATTTATCGATTTTAAACAGGCATACGACTCTATAAACCGAACGGTGCTATATGAGGCCATGATAACATTTAAAAATACCTTCTTCATAAAGTGCCCTCTCCTCAATGGAGGTTGGCTACTACAATTTTAAACTCTTCTCTATCTTCAGCTGTTCTTATTAGCTGTTCAAAATTTAGCCCTGTCCATTGTCGGATGTTTCTGAGCCACGATAGTCTTTTCCTTCCTAGGCCTCTTTCCCTCGATTTTTTCTTTCACTATAAGTTGGGCATATTGGTACTTATTATTTCTCAGTATGTGGCCTTGGTATGATGTTTTTCTAACTTTCACTGTGTTAAAAAGTTCTCTTTCCTTGCCTATTCTATGCAGCACTTCTTCGTTTGAGGTATGCGATGTCCATGAAATTTTGAGTATTCTCCGGTAGATCCACGTTTCAAAGGCCTCCAATTTATTTACGGTTGATGTTTTAAGGGTCCACGTTTCAACTGCATATAGAAGAGTCGACCAGACGTAGCATTTTGATAAACGTAGTCGAACTTCGAGTTTTATTCGAGAATCACAAAGCAGTTTTTTTATTTTTTCGAAAGATTTTCTGGCCTGTTCTATTCTCGATCTTATTTCTTGATCACATTAAAAATTAAAAATACCACAAAAGCTTATAAGGCTAGTGAGAATTTTGAAGAAGAAACGAAAAGATACATAATAATAATAAACCAACAAAAACGAAATATTTGGAAATAAGAGGAGATATAACAAATAATAGCAAATATATCTAAACCAAAGAAGCAGAGGCTGTCTATAGTTTAAAAAAAGTGTTAAAATTTTAATACTTGGGAGTAACCATAACGAACAAGAGAAAAGAATAAAAAGAGAAGGACAAAAGATTAATGAAGGGGAGCAAAGTGGTAGGGTCAATAAATTCAATAATGAAAGTAAAAAATGTGTCAAGAACAGCTAAACTGCGAGACAGTAATCAGACCCACGGTTATGTATGCCAGCGAAACGTGGATTATGAACCAGCGGGAAGAACAGAAAGTATAGATCTGGATAAGAAAGGTGCTCAAAAAAAATTCGGAGGAATATCGACGCAGAGAATATTTATAGAATGTATAAAAAACCAATAATTACTGCAAAAATACGAACCCAAACAGCTAGATGACTTGGTCACAGTATCCGAGTGCCAGAAAACCGGAATGTTAAAAGAATACTTAAGGGGGAAGAAATGGGTAAAACAAGAGGAAGTTCAAAGAAGAAATGGTTGAAAGCAGTAAAGCAATACTTGTCAGAAATAGGCGTAAGAGATTAGAGAGGAAAAGAAAGGACCCAGAAAAAGAACTAAGTTTTTTGGAAGCCAGAGGCTTTCAAGGCCTCCAGCTGTTATATATTATGCACACACATACTTAAATTCACAAATATTTGGGAACTATCATAACCAACCAACTTGAATCAGATGTAGAAATAAACGGCCGAATTGCAATAACTAAAGAGAAAGTTTCTTATTTTTACCATGAGAGAACTAGTTCAATAAATAATGTCGGATAATTTTAATATAGCACATAAAGAAGAATGAGTAGGATAAACATTTACTTACATTGTTGAACTAGCATGTTGAAGGCGGTGTTTGCTGGGTTTATTCAGAACAAACTGATCCAAACTGCTGATGGGACTTCTTTTATAGGCTCCAAAGCGTTGACGATAAGATCGGCATGTGCCTAAAAAATAACAATTTATCAGATTATTAGATTATCAAACAAACAACGCCTTCGCAGTCTACTATTTATATGGAATGTTTTTAGCAATACTAACTATAATTATTTATAGATTATCCAAATTTATCCAAGATTATCAAAAATAGCATTGACATTGATATAACCGTTAAATTAAAAACGTTTTTATTTATTGATAATGGTACAGGACTTTGGATTTTCATTATAGGGCAGTTTCATTTAATTATAAGCAATTTTCATTATAAGGCAGTTGATGGAACAATACAGAAATAAAGTAATAAACGCTCATATAGTATTACTTGATCTTGAGAAATCATACGATAGAGTTTCTCGAGAGATTTTGTGGTAGGCACTAACCCCCGTCCCCCGGTATAAATACGTAAATATTGTAAAATACATTATCTGAGAAAGTAGAACACTAAGTTCAAAGTAAGATTGCACCGAGGCTCAGAACTTAGTTCTTATTTTTTCCTCTACAGGGTAAGATTACCTGGTGCTTAATGTATGTTGAGGATGTGTTGTTAATAGGAAATAGTGAAAGCCATTTAGAACCAAAATTGGAACAGTGGAGACAAGCTGTTGCGGAAAAATGATCTAAAACTAAGTAGGACAAAAATAGAGTATGTAAAGATGGAGTTATTACAAATAAAAAGATATCTTTGAATGGTGAAATAATTGAGAAAAAAAATAGTTTTAAGCACGTAGGGTCGGTATTACGGAGTAATGGGGAAATATGGGAGAAAGATGGAGATGTGTGCAGTAAAATTAGGGTAAAATGGAAAAGTGGAAGGAAGTAAGTGGTATGTTGTCTTCTACTTCTTCTTCTTTTTGTGTAGACGTGACTCTGTCTGTTTTTCAATGTGCCTCCAGGAAGTTGTCGTTTCATCGTTTTCCTGGTCTTCCCACTGATCGTGTTTCTATTGCAAAATCGTCTCTTGGCGTTGGCTTGCTTATATGATCGTTCTATTCTACTCTTATCTAATCTATGGAAAACATCAAGGAGACAGTCCTTGATGTTCTTTACCTTGCATCTCTGTCGTATATCTGTACTTCTAGCTCTGTCCTACCATCGATTTTTCTAAGGATTTTCATTCCTGCTGTTTCTAGCATTATTTTTATTCTCTCTGTGTCAGGTCGTGCTTCTGCCGCTTATATCATTATTGATCTTATAACTATTTTGTGAATTCTGCCTTCCATTTGTTTCCCGATACTTCTATTTCTCCATATTGTTTTATTCAGCCATCCTTCGGCGCCGTTTGCTCTATTCGCTTGATCTTCCACTTCTGTTTCCAGCTTTCCATTGCTGGATATTTAAATCTATCACTTGTTCTATTTTCTGACCCTCCAGCTCCAATTTAACACTTAGTAGATTTGTTATTAAAATCACGCATTTTGTCTTTGTGTTTTTTGGGGAAATTAGCATGTTCAATTCTTTGGCGGTTATATTAAACTGGTGCAGCATACGTTGTAAATTATCTTCACTTTAAGATATTAATATTGCGTCGTCTGCATAGTATTTTAAGTTATTTTTCTCCCATTTTACATCCCTTTTTCATTCTTTAGTCCTAATTTTTTTATTAGGTCATCGATTTCATTCATTTCATCAGCTTGAATAATAGAGGGCTCAGAGAATTCTCATGTCTTATCCCATTGTCAGCTTCAATTGAGTCAGTTAGTTTTCCTTCTACTTTTACTATGTTGTTTACGTTCTTTAATTTGATTCTATCAAATAAATGCATTTTTAAGGTCCACGAAACATAAATATGCCAATTTATTGTATTCTAATCATTTCTCTTGCACCTGCTTCAATATAAATATAGCGTCGGTGCATGATCTTCCTGACCTAAAACCTTATTGTTCTTACGTTATTCTAGTGTTATAACTTCCTTCAGTTTACTTGTTATCACTTTGATTGTTAATTTATGTGTTGTGTTTAAAAAATTAATTCCACTGTAGTTCCCTGGGTCCGATTTGTTTCTCTTTTGGAAGAGAGGTATTAGGATGCTTGATCTCCATTCTTGTGGTATTCTGTTTTCTTTTATTATTTTTTGGATTAGTTTTAGTAGTTTTTTGGTATCTGATCCGGTCCTCCGTACTTAAGGAGTTTGTGCAGGATTCTATCCTCCCCTGACGATTTTCTATTATTTAATTTCCTTAATGTTTCCTTTATTGTGCAATGGTGGTGTGAAAAATCCAAATAAAAACACATATATGTCATTACGAAACACCAGAATACACCACCAAGATAAAAGATTAACCAAAAAAGCAGAAACACATATATCACAGAAAGTGATGGAGTCGAAGAAAGCTGGCAAAAATTAAGTCTAATATCTTAGCCTCGACCAAGGAAGTTCTTGGTCTTAAAGAAATATGAATAAAAATAAATTGTTTCCAAGGCGAAGATCTCCATGGTTTTGTACAGAAGTGAAGAAAAAATGTAAAGAAAAGAAAAAAGTATACCTTAAATACATGTCAACCAAAACACAAGAGGCATACCATAATTACAATACAATTAGAAACGAAATACATGAATTTATAAGAAAAATAAAAATCATCACTGGGAACGCTTCTCGAAAGAAATGATTTTGAACATGATTTTTACGGTCTGCAAACGGAAATGTGGCGCTTCATAAGAGGTCAAGGAATGGAGGTAAAGGTATTAATAAAAACAAAACACATAATAAAGGATACGTGGATTAATTACCTAAAAAAGCTTTTTGCAGAGGAACAACAAACGACGCTAGAACCGGAAATACCAGAAATTACCACAAATGAAGAACGCAAGAAAGCAGCAGGCAAAGACGGGATACCAAACGAATTATTGAAATATTGTGAAGCAGCAATGACAGAATAATTAAAAACATTAATTAATAAAATCATAAAACACAATAAAATACCGGAAGACTGGGAAACAAACGAACTAATTCTTTCTCTCTCTCTTTCTCTTTCTCTCCAATGGCGCTACAGTCTAAATCAGGCCTTGGTCTCGTCCAAACTATGCCTCCAACCTTGTCGGTCCCGCGCCGATCTTCTCCAGGTTCTCACGTCTAACAAATTTTGCTCGTCTGCTGCCACTTCATCCTCCCATCTTTTCCGTGGCCTTCCTTTTGGTCTTGCGCCCTGCATTTTACTATCTAGGGCTCTTTTCGGCAATCTTTTGTCTCCATTCTTACTACATGATCAGCCCAGCGAAGTCTCTGAAGTTTAACGAATTCTGAGATCGGTGTCTCTTTGAAGAGTTGGTAGAGTTCATGGTTGTACCTGGATCTCCATGTCCGGTTTGCGTTAATAGGTCCAAATATCATTCTTAGGACTTTTCTTTCGAATATTTCCAGTTTTCTTTTTGTCTCTTCTGTCATCACCCATCTCTCGCATGCATAACATACTATTGGTCTGATAATAGTTTTGTAGACCCTGATTTTTGACCTCCGGTGTGTGTTTTTTATAGCGGAACACATAATCGAGTGAAAAATAAGCTTTGTTTCCCTCTACTATTCTTCTTTGGATGTCTGGTTCATCTGTTTCATCAGTGTTTAATGCAACTCCTAAAGATGTGAAACTTTCTACCGTTTCAATATCGTCCTCTAATTCAACTGTCCGTCTGATTCCCCTAGCTCTTGCCTGTGTTAACTTTTTTGTCTTTTGAATATTTATTTCTAGTCCGGTCTCTTTTGCCTTTGTTTTTAATTGTGAATATATTCTGTCGCCTCTTCTGTTCTGCGAGACATGATGCTGATATCATCGACATAGGCGGCAATCTGTATTGATTTATTTGTTAGGAGATTACGTCTTCCTATAAGGTAACTGAATACAATATGCCCATGTTAAGGGAATTTTGAATTTATTGCTACAAAAATATATTTTTCATATATTTTTTAACACTATACCAATGTTTAGGTGTTTAAACATCGCTAGTTTTTTTATTGTTTGGCAATTATTTTTTTTTATATCGAATTTTTTTTTAAACCCCTCAATCTGAGCATATTGCCAACCCCTAAAGGTAATATGCCCAGTCGAGTGAAGGTAATATGCGCTTACCTAAAACACTAAATGATGTGGAAATAAATATTAAAAAACATCATATACTTACAAAATCTTATATTTATTGACACTATAAAAAACATTTAACCAAACAAAGATATTAAACAATCCTTTTTGTAAAAACTAAAATGTCAAAATAAAGAATTTTTAACTGAAATAACTCAAAATTAAGGAATATTATTGTGGGGTACAATCAAGATAGGTAAAGGATTCCTTATCGAATTTTGTCAGCCCTACACATTCTTCATGAACGTACTGTACACATATAAAGCATAGTCGCATGTCTTTTATTTCAGTTTTGTCGCAAATTTTGCAAAACCGTTTTGCTACGTCTTCTGATTTTTTGTTTTTCTTTACCAAACAACCTGGTAGAGTTTGTTTCGTGCCTTTATTTATATATGTTCGTGGACCTGTGCTAGTGGTAGAAAATACATTTTTTTTTACCACTATAGCTCTGCTATTTATTGCCTTCTTTCTATTTTGTGTATTTTTTTTCTCAATTTTTGCCGAAGTCTCAAGCATTTCCGTAAACGATGTGGCCAAAGTTTTGCCCTGGCAAGTTTTTATTTCTTCAGTATTACTTTTTTCTTCTCGAAGATTGTTATTCTCTTTGTTATAAACCTCAAAATCATTTTTTTTCAGAATTCATAAGGAAAGTTTCCTTTTTTTTATGAAACTGATTTATTGCCAATTCAACTTCTTCGCCGCTGTCTTCTGATTCCGAAGTATAACTGCCAGAACTCTCACTTGATGAAGTTTGTGTTTTAGACTTCCTTTTCATGTGAATTGGCGTCTTTTGGTATTGTGGCAAACAGTTTTGTTGGGAAGAGCTTTTTGAATAGTCTGCAGTTGGTGGTGGAGTTTTCTGGCGCAGATTAATGGGTCCGCTATCACTATCACTTGATGATGATTCAGTTCTAGGTTTCTTTTTTTTTTGCAATCTTGGGTCTTTTGATATTTTGGTACACTTTTTTGTTGAGAGGAATTATATGAACAGCCTGGAGTAGGAGATGGTGTTTTCTGGCGTACATTAATCGGTCCGCTATCACTATCACTTGATGATGTTTCAGTTCTAGATTTCTTTTTTTTTGTAATCTTGGGTCTTTTGATAGTTTGGTACCCTTTTTTGTTGAGAGGAGTTATATGAACAGCCTGGAGTAGGAGATGGTGTTTTCTGGCGTACATTAATAGGAGTGGGATCAATGTTCTCAATTTCTGATAAAATACTTGTGGCAAAAGCAACTTCAGGTATAGCATCGGGGTTATAAGGAAATATTCCTGTTGCAGCAAAGCCTGATTTAATGTTAGAAGGTGTCAATGCCTTGTCCCACACTATCGAAAATATTTCCCCAAATCGCTGCTTTGTAAAAGCACGTTATTTGTATTTGGTCCAATACAACAACACTTGTTCGTCCCAGTGGTGTTCAAAGGAACGAAACACAGCTTTGTCCATCGGCTGGAGTTCATGAGTTGTGGTGCTAGGCAAACACAGAAGGGTTATTTGATATTTCTCGGCAGCTTCGACAATTGAAATGTATAAGTGACATGAGGCTCCATCAAATATTAAAAGACACTTTCCCTCCAATTTATATTTTGCTAAATGCTCCAACCAAATAATGAAGGTTTCCACATTCATACTGCCTTTAGGGGTCATCAACGCCAACGTGCCATGAGGCAAATTATCTTTCCATTCGGGCTTCATGCGCCGTCCTTTAAACAAAACGGCAGGAGGAATAGCGGTACCATTGGCGTTAGCACAGCTAACAATAGTTACATTTTCCCCATGTTCCGGAGCAACCAAATGTACGCGTTTCACGCCTTTCTTTGCTAGAACGGTCTGTTGATGATGCAGACTGAGTCTGCAGCCTTTCTCGTCCACATTGTAAATTCTTTCAGGTTTGTCGATTAAATCTAATTCTTGAGTACACCCCTTAATTTGTCAAAATAGTCTTTTACTATGAACTTGTTCAATTTTTGAGCCCGAGCATGATTCATGCTTTGTGCTTTCCTTATCGATATTTCAGGGTGTCTTTGCAAAAATCCTTTTAACCAATAACGTCCAGCCATTTTGGTTCCTTGTGAAAAAAAGTGTGGCAAATTGTTTTGTTCATAATAAGTAAACACACATTTTTTTAAAGTTTTATTGCTGAGGGGATACCCAACTTCTGCCAATCTAACAATTCGTCGAGACAATTCGTTTTCTTGATCTATATTTAAAATAGTCTTTCTCCCCATTTTTGCCTTTTTGGTACTATTTTTTTCTACATAGCGTTTCAAAGTGCGTCTAGAAATATTATACCTTTGACTTGCCGCATTGTATGACATTCCATTTATTACTGCTGCAATTGCGGATTCTAGCTGTTGATTGCTCCATTGCGACCGTATTTCCTTATTTCTGACACGAGGCATGTTATCTAAAACAAAAAAAGATCAATAAATTATCTGTTATAATTAGCTGGCAATATGCCCAATTGAGCAAATTGTCAGCATACACTATGGGCATATTGTTGACACATGATTATGACATGATGATTAATACATTTTCTTAAATTATAAAAACATTTTGAATAATAATATATTTTATTTTTACTTACATTTTAAGTACTCTATGGCAGACTAAAATCACTTAATGTCGTAGACAAATTAAAACGTTTAAGTGCAAAACAGAGGTGAAAACTGACGTCAATTTTTATAACCACGCTCTTAAAAACCACGTACAACTTGACTGCACCACGGCAAGCTCACAACTAACCTTGAGGTCGGTCACGGGCTTAGTTATATTAGGCGTTCAGTGCAGGTTCAGTGTATCCAGCGCCTCCTTCCCCGAATATCAAATATTAAAGCAAAACATGGAAATGGGCATAATACCAACATGGGCATACTGTATTCAGGTACCTTATTCAGTTGTCTTATCACATATTCCAAGGTCACGTTGAATAGTGTCGGTGCCAGCCCGTATCCTTGCTTTAATCCTTGGACTATTGTAAAGTTTTCAGTGAGCTTATTTTGGACACTGACAGTTGCTATTGATGAATCCATTGTTGTTTTTACCAGTCGGATGTATTTTTGGGAGATATTAAAGCTCTGCAATATTTGATATAACTTGTTCCTATTAATTGAGTCGTAGGCTCGTTAGAAATCTATGAATATGTTGTGGACGTCAATGTCGTATTTCCACGATTTGTTTAAAATTTGTTTCACTGTGAATAGTTGGTCAGTTGTAGATCTTCCTTCTCGGAAACCGGTATATTCCCCGACAATATTTTCAGTTAGTTGTTGGAGTCGTTTGTTTAGTATGTAAGTAAAAATTTTGTACGCCGTGGACAAGAGGGTTATTGTTCTGAAGCTATTTTCTTGTGGCATTTTAAATTAATTACTATTTAACTGGGAATAAGCCACAATTAAAGATGAAAATACGTTTATTGACGTTTCAATTTCCACTTCGGAAATCGTTCTCAAAATACAAACAGTAAATTAAACAAATTTTGTTTTCTGTTACATAGTGAAAAATTCTTCTAATAATTTAATTTTATCTGACTCATTTATATTGACAATTCAGACATACATTATGCATTTTAAAGTAAACGACTTTAAAATGATATTGCCAATATTGTTGAGTTGCGCTCCTGGGACGACTTTACTTATAAGATAGTTCATTCGATTACATGAAATCAACTTTAACTTGAGAATATTCGTCAGAAAAATCATAGCATGTAATATGTCTTTAAAAAGACAAAAACATGACATGATGACAGTAAAATTCTCCTGTTAGTGATTCCATAGTACATTTTGAGAGACAAACCAGGAAAAAACCTCATAATACTATCCCGACATGGTAAGTATTTGTTCGTACATTTAGTTTACCTTCAATAAACACCAAAATTCTGATTTTATATGTTTCATTATTTAAAAAATATAAATTATGTATCCTCTATACGTTACTGACTTACTAATACTGGTATTTTCTTATTAATAAGTTCCTCTTTCAATATTGGTAACCAGATGCTACTACATTCTGCCGAGGAATTTGCGACACAATTGGCCTCATTTAGCATAATTAGAGCTGTTTCTTTGATTTTTCTTTTTTTACCATCCGTTTCTTTTAGGACTACATTTGAATTATTCATGAATAAAATCAGAATTTTGGTGTTTATTGAAAGTAAACTAAATGCACGAATAAATACTTACCATGTCGGGATAGTAGTATGAGGTTTTTTTCCTGGTTTTTCCTTCATAATTTACTATGGAATCACTAACAGGAGAATTTTACTTTCATCATGTCATGTGCTTGTCTTTTTAAAGACAAATTACATGCTATGATTTTTTCTGACGGATATTCTCAAGTTAAAGTTGATTTCATGTAATCGAATGAACTATCTTATAAGTAAAGTCGTCCCAGGAGCGCAACTCAATAATATTGGCAGTATCATTTTAAAGTCGTCTACTTTAAAATACATAATGTATGTCTGAATTGTCAATATAAATGAGTCAGATAAAATTAAATTATTAGAAGAATTTTTCACTATGTAACAGAAAACAAAATTTGTTTAATTTACTGTTTATATTTTGAGAACGATTTCCGAAGTGGAAATTGAAACGTCAATAAACGTATTTTTATCTTTAATTGTGGCTTATTCCCAGTTAAATAGTTATTCAAGAGGGTTATGTCGGGATAATTTTCTCATTTTAGTTTATCCTCTTTTTTATACATTGGGCATATAATCCCGGTTTTCCAATCATTAGGGATCTTTTTATCATTCCAAATCTTGTTCATGAGCATATGCATTTATTCTACTAGGTGATCGCCACCTAATTTATATATCTCAGGGGGAACGTCGTCAATACCTGGAGCCTTATTGTTCTTTTGTAATTATATTGCCTGTTTTACCTCTTCCATCGTTGGGGGTTCTATATTTTCGGTGTCTCCCTCATTGTGATGCACGTATATATGCTCTTCATTTTCTTGTGTCCCTAAAAGAGTTTGGAAATAGGTTTTACAGACTGATTTTATTTCTTTTGGATCACTTGTTATTTTCCCTTCTTGATTTCTGCATAGATTTTTTCGGGGTGTGTATCCTTCTCTTAAATTGCGTAGATATCTGTATGCCTATATTGTTGCTTTGAAGATTTTCTTCCAGTTTCTGTATATTACTATTTTCGTATTTTCTTTTCTCTGCTCGGCATATTTTATCGGCCCTCCGTCTTGCATCTTGGTAACTTGCCTTTCTTTCTCTGGTTCTTCTTTCCATATATTTCTTGTGTTCTTCATTTCTTTTCTGTATGGACTTATTGCATTCGTCATTGGACCATTCCCTTTTTGTATTTTTCTTTTTCTTGCCTATGATTGTTCTTGCTGCGTCAATAACTTTTGTTTTGATTTCTTCCCAATGTTCTTCGGTGCCTAGACTGCCTGTGCCTGTCAGTGTTTGTATTATTTCTCTCTCATAGTTCTGTTTGACATCTTGTTGTTTCAATTTTTGTATATCTAGCTGTTCTGTTCTTTGTTCCTGTCTTTCCCTCCT